CTCGACTTTGATTTATTTCTATTTATTCCTAGCGGGCAGCGGAGCGCTGGCACGCCGAGGGGCTGCGGCTCCCCTTTAATGGCTCTTCTCCCGTGCGCGCTTCGATTTGTCCTCGGGACTGCTCTGATTTATGGCTCTCCCGGCTCCGCACGCGTGCGGCCCCGCCGCCCCTCCACCACCACAGGGAAAGGGCCGCCGTGGCCTCGGGTGGCTTTAAGCAGGAGAAAGAGGTGCAGGGAGAGAGCACGGCCGCGTGCTGCGCGGTGCTGGCCGCTCTCTTCACGCAGGCCGGGGCTCGGGCCCTGGGGCTGTCCCGAGGGCAGCGGGGGGGGGTCGGGCAGGGGCCGGGCCGCGCCTTTGTGCGCTGCGCTGGGGGCTGTCACCGCGCATCCACCTGCGCGGCACCGTCCCGTGTGGCGAAGCGAATCGCAGAACCCCGAGCCTCGTGTCCCTGAGCGCTCCCTGGCATCGCCCGAGAGCGATTCGCGAAGGAAACGTCTTTCAGCGGCGCAGCCCGGCCTGAAAGTTCCGATTTTATAACGGCTTTGATTGGCGCGACGTGGATGAGACGGGGAGTAAACTTGCCACCAAAGTGTAAACATTTCATCTGCGCGAAAACAAAGAATTAGCGGTGCCACAGAGGTATTTCTAAGCGTAAACCGAGGAGTGACGCGGCACCTCGGGCTGCAGGAGGCGTTGAGATCCCTCTGCAGGACCGCGAGCATCACAGAGCGATTTGCGGGCTGAATGAGAAAGGTGGGAAAACGTATAGTTAAAAATAAAAATAAAAACACACATTGAAATTCTTCGGTAAACCAAGAAACAACGACGCAGGGATCTGTCATCCTCGGAACAGAGCTATTTGTCTTCGATGTCTCCTTAGTCAACAGAGGTTCAATAGCACGCGGGTTGGTGCTATTTTCAAATCCAAGCCACTCTCCTTTCAATATGCCCGAGCAGGACTCTGCGTTCGGGAATTGTGTTTTAACTAAATAATGAAAAAGGGAGGTGGGCCCTTGGGCTGCGAGGCGGCCCTCGGCTCCCCGTGCCCGGCGGAGGGGGAGCACGGTGGGCAGAACCGCGGCGCTCCGGTCCGGGAGAACCGGGCACAGCGCGGGGACCACGCGAGTCTCAACCGCACGGTGAGGAAAGCGCCTACGTAAAGGGAAGCGATCCGCATTGTCGTGCAGATCTATTAACTCCTCCCGTGACCTTACAGCCATGCACGGCACGAAGCGAGCCCCTCCGCCTGCTCTGAGCACAACAAACCCGACCTTTCCCTCCGTGGATTTAATCCGGGGAGCGCACGACCCACGGCGAGAGCGGTGCCACGCTGCAAATGGGCGTTTTGCTGAGACTTCCCGGACTATTTTTGCTCTCAGCTGCAAACCAGCCAAATGTTCGATGCAGTACCTGCCACACAGCCGCCGAGCTGGCGGAGAACATGACGTGCTCCTGCACAAATGAACGACATTTTTTTTTTTTTCTTTTCCCCAGCAAGTACATTTCTCAAACATTAACAACGTGGAAAAAAAAAATTAAATATAGATAGAGAGAGATAATAAATGGCGATCGGAGCAGAGCAGCGAGGAGCCGCACAGAACGATTTGGAAAGCTCAGCGGTTAGAAGACAAATGTCATTTACCTTGCGGTTCTCTGCCCGTGCCTCGCCCATTGTCCCTGCCTACCCTGCTCCGTGCGCTGCCCCGCCGCTGCGGGGGGGTCGGTGCTAACGGGGGCAGTGGGGGCTGCGGCCGCTCTGACATTGGGACAGCGTTCATTTGCGATCTGTCCGTCCGCCACAGCTGCGGCTCTGCGATGGCACTGCGCTGCTGCGGCTCTCCCTCCCCTCCCTGCACAGCGTTTACTCACGTTCGAGAGCAGCCAACAGAGACCAAAAAAAAAAAAAAAAAAAAGAACTAATTGAGCTTGTGTCGGTATTGGCTAATTTCTGCTAATACTCCGTAAATTCCTCTTTTCCTCCCAACCTTCCCCCGTGCAGGTTAGGTTTGCACAAAGCACCTCCGGAGCCCGGCGGTTCTCGTACCAGCGCCTTGAAGTACACAATGAGAACCTCAACTCCTGGCTCCGGGAGCGCCGAATGCCCTCCCCGGCCCCCCCTCCCCGCTCTGATTGACTCTGTTTGGAAATTTGCACTTGTTCCCACCGAGCGCAGCCCGACTCGTCCTGGCTCCGGAGTGAACTTGTGTTGAAGGTGAAGTTTTCAATCTAGAGGTCATGACACCGAGCCACCGCTTACCGCTCCGAGCTTCATGCCGTATTAAACACAATCAAAACGAACCCCTTTTAGACCTCTTTTTTTTTTTTTTTTTTTTTTTTTTTTTTTTTTTTCCCTCCTCCTCCTTCTGCGGATGAACAATGAGAGAAAAAAAAATCTCTAAAATATAATAAACGCGTGATAACAACACCGTTCCTCGCGCTTCTCGGGCAGCTCCCCGCCGCACGGAGCCGCATCACCGCACCGCTCACACCCGCACACCCGGAGGAGCTCCGGCAGCCCCGCACCGGGCACAGCCGCCCCGTCCCCCCACGGAGCGCGGCCGCGATGACGGCTCTGCCTCCGCCGGGCTCTGCCGCTCCGCCGCCCGCCCCGATCCCACGCCGGGAAGGGCGATCCGAGCCGGGGGGCTCCGAGCAGTTGCCCCCCGACAGCGGCCGTCCCGGCCGAGCCTGCGCCGGGCGCGGGGACTCCGCCACAATGACAGCTCCTCCACTTCAAAGCCGGCCTTTCTCTATAGCGACTTCTAGCTGCCCCGAGACGGTAGGCTTCCTTCGGCTATTGTGCGAGCTTTTTCGTGCCAAAGATTTAGCAGGAAAGAAAAAGAAGAAAAAAAAAAAAAGAGAGAGAGAGAGAGAAGAAAAAAAAAAAGAAAGAAAAAAAAAATTAACGCCGGGGGTTCGCTGGGGAACGGGAAGCGTGGAGGCACCGGAGCCGAAGGGCCGCAAAGCTCGGTCCGAACCCAGAAACTTTTTTTACTTTAATGGGTTCCAGTCTATGAAAAATAAGTTACAAATTCTTGCAACAGTAGCTTTGCATGTACTTATTTTTCTCCCATGTCCAGACGGGGTCGGCTATTGAATAAGGCTCTTTTATTCTGCATGGGGCAGGGGATTTGTGGCCATGGTCCCCCTTTTATTCCTCTCTCTATGGAAACCCAGATCATGGGGAGAAATATGCGAGGCTGAATAAAGAAAAGCAGCAGAAAGGACCGCTTGAGAGCGGCATCTGTTACACTTGGGAAGTTAGACTGACAGGAAAGAGCTAAAGAAACCCTCTCCAGCAGATTAGTTAGAACAGCGCCGAGATTTAACTATATGCAGATAAAAACACTTTAAAATACCCCAAACGCGCCCAGAGGAGGCACGGAACCTCCTCCGACGGCAGCGCTGTCCCCGACCGCAGCACATCGGCGACAAATCCGAGGATGGGACGGTCGGGTTTATCTCCCTGCCACGCTCTGCCTTCATTAAGCGGCGGAGCTCCGCGTCTGTTTGCACGGGCGGATGGGATTTGAAAAATTGTTTCGGAAGTTCAAGCGCAAATTAATTTTAAATAATTTAGTTACGTTTTTATACAGCGTGGAGATATATATAAATATATATATATATCCTCTTCCGCGCGCTCCGGTGATATTTATTTTGAGAAGCTCGTGAAGGCGGAGAGGGGAGGGAAGGAAAAAAAAAAAAAAAAAAAAAAAAAAAAAAAAAGAAAAAAAAGAGGAAAGGGAAAAAAAAAAAAAAAAAAGCGGGCGCTGCGGTTCCTCTTTATCCGCCCTCCGCGGTGATGAATGCGGCGCTCCGCCGCTGCCCTCCGCCGCAGCCGCGCCTCTCCCAGGGACATTTGTCATCCCCTGACCTCCGCGCTGACCCCTCCTCTCGCTCCCGGCCGCTTCCCGAGGAGCCGCAAACTTTCGGCCGTGTTGGCCCCGGGTCGCGTTGCCCGACGCGACCCGCACCCGAGGACCGGGACCGAACCCGGGGAGCGGAACCGGGGGGCGGCGGAGCGGGATCCCGCGGTGCCCCCGGGCGGCCCCGGCCGAGCCCCACTGCGGGCAGCGCCGTGCCGGAGCCCCGGCGAGAAATTCCCGGGGCTGTTATAGTGGTAAAGTAGGAAAGCGGGGCTGGAAGGGGGCCGGGGGGAGCTCACCTTCTTTCTATCAATTTTCTCATTTTCTTGAATTTTCTTCAGATCTGTCTTCTCAGGGAAACTAATGCCTTAATGACTTTCTGGTAGCTGCAAGCCTTCTTTTATTTCTGCTAAATATATGAAAATGTATGCAAATTTAAATCAAGCTTAACCTAGGCGCTCTTGCAATATATTTAATGGAATTTCAAACCAATAAGGGCACCGCGCCGCGGCCGCCCGTCAGCGGCACCGCCAGTGCGCAGCGCGGAGCCCCGCACGGAGCGGGACGGCGCGGGGAGGGGGAACGGCGGGGTGACGGCCGCGCCGGGCGCCGTGGGGGTTTCTCCACGGCTTTTAGCGGGTTTTATTGTTCGCTTGTTTGTTTGTTATTTTCTCTCCTCGGGAGCGCACAGCCCGGGGCAGGCGCTGGGCGCCCGGTGTGACGCGGGCGACGCGCGGCACCTCGGGGAGCGGCGGGGCGGAACGGAGCGGGGGGACGCGGGGCCGCGCTCGCCGGGGTGGTCTCGCGGCCGCCGCTCCCCCGCCCGGCACCGCCGCCCGCCCGCCGCTCGCCATTTAAGCGGTGCCCCGCGGCCCCCCCCCGCCCCGCCCGGCGCGGAAGGAGTTAAGCGGCGGGGCCGCGTCGCGCCCGGCCCCCGGAGCAGCGGCGGAGTGATTCACTTCCTGCCTCGGGCCCGCGCGGCGCCCGGCTCCCAGCGCCCCGCCCCCCCGCCGGCCTCCTCGTCCCCCATTGGCCCGCGCGGCGCGGCCCCGCCGGCGGCGCGCCCCCATTGGGCGCCGCGGCTGCCAGTCGGCGGGCGGCCGCTGCCCGGGCCGCCGTGCCGGTGGATGTCAAAGGCTGAGGCGGCGGCGGCGCCTCAGTATAACTCGTGGGGGCTGCGCGGCGGCCATGGCCACAGCCGCCTCCAACCCCTACGGCCTGCTCGGCTCCGGCTCGCTCGCCCATGCGGACGGCGCGGGCATGCAGCAGGGGAGCCCGTTCCGCAACCCGCAGAAACTGCTGCAGAGCGAGTACCTGCAGGGCGTCCCCGGCAATGGGCACCCGCTGGGCCACCACTGGGTGACGAGCCTGAGCGACGCCGCGCCCTGGCCCTCGGCGCTGGCGGGCGGCCCGCTGGAGCAGCCCGACGTGAAGCCGGGCCGCGAGGACCTGCAGCTGGGCGCGCTGCTGCACCACCGCTCGCCCCACGTCTCGCACCACTCGCCCCACGCCAACCACCCCGGCGCCTGGGGGGCCAGCCCGGCGCACGGCGGCTCGCTGGGCCCCGCCGGGCAGCCCCCCCCGCTCGGCGTGTACCCGCAGGCCGGCTTCGCGGTGGGCGGCGTGCTGGAGCACGGGGGGCTGACGCCGCCGCCCGCCGCCGCCGCGCAGCAGCCGCCGCCGCCGCAGGGGCTGCACCCCGGGGAGCACGGCGAGCTGGGCGGCCACCACTGCCAGGACCACTCGGACGAGGAGACGCCGACCTCGGACGAGCTGGAGCAGTTCGCCAAGCAGTTCAAGCAGCGCCGCATCAAGCTGGGCTTCACCCAGGCCGACGTGGGCTTGGCGCTGGGGACGCTCTACGGCAACGTCTTCTCGCAGACCACCATCTGCCGCTTCGAGGCCCTGCAGCTCAGCTTCAAGAACATGTGCAAGCTGAAGCCGCTGCTGAACAAGTGGCTGGAGGAGGCCGACTCCTCCACCGGCAGCCCCACCAGCATCGACAAGATCGCGGCGCAGGGCAGGAAGAGGAAGAAGCGCACCTCCATCGAGGTGAGTGTCAAAGGCGTGCTGGAGACGCACTTCCTCAAGTGCCCCAAGCCGGCCGCGCAGGAGATCTCCTCGCTGGCGGACAGCCTGCAGCTGGAGAAGGAGGTGGTGCGGGTCTGGTTCTGCAACCGGCGGCAGAAGGAGAAGCGCATGACGCCGCCGGGCGAGCAGCAGCAGCACGAGGTGTACGCGCACGGCGTCAAAACGGACTCGGCCTGCCACGACCTCTGACCGGGGCTGCCGCCGGCTCGGACCTGCCCGCGGCCGCCCGACCCCCCCCCGCCGCCGCCGCCGCCGCCCGACCCCGCGGAGGGGCGGCCCGGGCTGAGCGCCGCCCGCGGATGGCCGGGGTGCCCGCCGCCCGGCCCTGGATGGGCGCTGCTCGCGGACACGGGCGGGCTTCGGACGGAGGAAAACAAAGCAAACAAACAAAAAAACGCGAAAAAAAAAAAAGAAAAACGCGAACAAAAAATACAACAGAAAGGAAAAAAGACAGACGTGTGCCTATGAATAACCTTCCAGCGCCTTGGTTATATCAGCTGTATTTCAGGTGAATCTGTTTTACAATAGACTAGTTTTGCATTTTTAAAGACTTCTATAGCGTTTTTAAATGGCTGAGGTGTTTTACTACAAACTGTACACAATATTTGTGAGCTAATTTGTACCGAATCGAGCAGTCCCGCGTCCTTCCCTCCCCGCCTGGCACCGAGCGGGGACGGGGCAGGGCGGCCGCCACCCTTCGTCCCACCCCCGTCCCCTTCTCCGTTCCCATCCCTCTGCCGTTCCCATCCCTTTCCCCGTCCCCATCCCCTTTCCTCTCCTATTCCCGTTCCCTTTCCCATCGCCGTTCCCGGGGCTCCCTACCACCAACCAGCTCGTTTCTTACCGCTTCCCCCTTCCGTCCCAACAACTCCCCCCGATCAATCGGTCAAGTTCCAATCTCTGACCTCCCCCCTCCAATGAAAAAAAACAAAAGAAAAAGAATTAAAAATAATAATTTCCGAGCGATCCGAAATGAGGCATCACCCCCAGCCCGCGGCGTTTCGTACCGCCCGGCGTTCGGGGCTTTTCGGTCAGCGCCAGACGGAGAGGTCTGTAGTAAAACACCTTCGTAATTCTGCGCTTTGGCTTCGGAAATCAGTTTCTCTGTGTTTTGTTTCGATAGCGAAAAGGGGAGGGAGGGGGGGGGTCGTGATTTAGGGGGAGGGGGAGGGGGGGCAGCATTTGGTTCACGCTGAGCTTATTTCCGCGTCACAGGGATGCTGGATTAGCGGAAAAAATATATATATATAATTATACCTATATAATATTATATATATATATATATATATTGGACCGGGAGGGGGAAAGGAAAAAAAAAAAAAAAAAAAAAAGAAGGAGAACAAAGTCAATACAACGCTAATGCCATGCCCCATTCTTTCAGCATAGGGAAGTGCCGAGCCGTGCCGCCCCCTGGACGTTGTGCACAAGGACGGGGCCCCGAGCGGTGCGGGCCGGGCTGGGGCCGTGCCCCGCTCCCCCTCCCCCGGCCTTCAGATTTTTTCCTTTCGACATTTCTATTTTTCAAGTATTTTTCAGTAAGCGCTATAAAAAAAGAAAAAAAAATTTAAAAAAAAATTAAAAAAATCTCGACACTGAGGACCTGCCTATTTCTGCCAACTTTATAACTGTACAGTTTTGTATATTAAACGTTTTTTGGAAGTTATTAATTTAAAGAAAGATCATTTAGTTTATTCATTTAGTAACTGATGTATAATAAACGCTATTTTCATTAAAGGTTGCTTTTTTCAACTATTTTATCCAAAATTGCCTATTGCAGTTGCCAACAATTATTTATTTTCAATAAATTCCGCATTATGTTTAAAGAAAAAAAAAAAAAGTTTCAGAAAGAAAAACAAAAAAATAACAAAAAAAAAAAAAAAAAATAGAACCCAAAGCCGAAGGCAGCAGAGGGCCCAGCGGTGCGGGGCCGCACACGGGGCAGTCGCTGTACGGGTGGTGCTGGCCGGGCTCGGGCGGAGGGGTTTCTACCGACGCAATATTTTGTTGTTGTAAAAGGAAAAATTCCAAAAAAAAAAAAAAAAAAATCAACGTAAAAGAAAAAAAAAAAAAAAGATTTAAATAAACGTTTTTACAAAACGCACGGACGCGTGGTGCGGTGCGTGCTTTGTGCGCGGGCGGCCCCCGGCCTCGCCGCCTCCATCTCCGTACCGGCCGCTCCCGCTCCGGGCTGCGGGGGACGCGGCGCTGCCGCCGGGCGGGGAGAGACGGGCGGTCACACGGTGAGCGGTGCCCGTAGGAAGGGGTCCGTGCCCGGAGCGAGCGCGGCCGGCGCTCCGCCCCGCCGCCGCCGAGGAAACTGCGGTGCGCGGCCGTGAGCGGCGGGGGCTGAACGCTGAGCGACGGGCCCGGCCGGGCCGGGGGGGGTCGCGGCTTCGCGGGCGTCGCCCCCTGCTCCGAGCCGGCTCCTTGCGGGAGCGAGGCGGGAGGAAAAGGACGGCGGGAGGAGGAAGCGGCCCCGGCCCCCCGCGTATCAATCAGCGCAACGAGACGGCCGCGCGGAGCCGCGAGCTGACGGCAGCGGGTTGCGAACGGCTCTGGCTGTTGGCCGCACGCCGCTCGGCCCCAGAGGGGAGCGGGGCCGAAGGGCGGACGGGTCCCACCGCAACGAGTCCGCTCCGAGCCGCGGGGCTGCTCCGCACACAGCACAGGGAGCGCTGCGTTCGGGTCGTCTTTCAGCCGTGTGCCTACAGCCAAAAAAAGAGGCGATGAAAGAAGTAAAGTTCATCAGCGAAAGTACTTCAAGGACTACTTGAAAGCCGGAGAAGAAAAAACAAAAAACAAACAAACAAACAAACAAAAAACATCAAAAACAAGGAAGGAGAAAATTATTTTAAAAAGACAATTCTCGTCTCACTATTCCCTGTGCACCAGTGTTCCTGCGAGCAGAAGGAAACTCGTTTGTGCCACCTAATGTCAAGCGCCGAGCACTGTGCCGTGCCCCACGCGGCCGGCACCCCGAGCACAAAGCGGCACCAGAGGGGGGAGGGAGGGAACCTGGACGCTCACGGGTCAGGGCTTCCTCTGAATTTAGGAGATTATTTAAAAGGCACAATAACAACAATCATCACCGAGGCCTGGCACGGCCACGAGGAGGACTGATGTTGCACACCCACAGCCACTCGCAGTGATGGGAGACGCTGATTTAGTGCTGGGATGTCACACCCGTTCTTGCAAGAAGGGGCTGGAAGAAGCATTGCTGGTAGCAACGAATTACGCTGCTTTGGGATTCTGATGAACCGTTCAGCACCTTTAACAATTTTTGAGTCTGAAGCACCTTTCCTTGCTAAGGTATTAGAAAAGAAGAGGATGTGAGGCTTCCTCCGTATGCAGTGTCCAAATGCAGCAAAAGCTGTGCTCTCCTGCAGCAGAACAGGGCCACAGGAGGGGGTGCACTTGGAAGCAAAGTTACGGAACCACACAGCACCACGGCCTCATATGGCCCAGCACGGGAATGGGGGTCCCACAGCCAGCTGCCTCTGACCAAGGCTTAAATTCTTTCCTTTGAAGGGTTTTTAAAGCTTGTCTCTCTTTGTTTTTAAGAGTGGCTTTATAGATTGGGGCCAAGCAGACCCCAGCATGCAGCCATATGGGTCCTTCAGCACTGGGTCTGATCCCACGGGCACAACTCATCCCCTCACACACCGGGGCAGCTTCCACTTAATGCAGGGAGATGGCTGCGCACATAAGTCCTTCATTGTGCCTTCGTACATCCCAGAACATGCAGCCTCAGGCACAGCCCTGCTGCGTGTCCCCAAACCCAGTGTCAGCCCCACGCTGCACCGCTTTCCCCTTTCCCTACACCGTGGCCTGCAACCAGCAGACCAGAAAGGCTCCACAGCAATTACAGAGTTAGGAGATGTGAGAGCTGCAGTTAAGATCTTGAGGGCTGATTGCAGGATAAAATTTACTTCCAATGTGCAAGAGCCCATTTTTAAACCACGGCCTTTCAGCTGGTTTCCATTACATATATTCTGAAGTATCAAAAGCAATTAGGGTGGACAAAGTCTAAATGGTAAATAATTTCCAAATCAGACTGTCGTTAGAGCAAGCAGCATCTATTTTTGTTAGCAGTAAGATACGGAGGGGGCCAAACTAAATAACTTTTGCTTTCATATCATGAAAAGAAAGCAAGGCTTCTGCTTCCACCCTGAGAGCAGAGATGCAGGATTTCAAGCAAGAAAAGAAGAGCTTCAAAAGCCCAAATGTAGTGGCGAGCTGCAGTGCTGTGCTCCCACCTGACCTCAGGCTCTGCAGGTCTGCCCCGCTCAGCACCGTGCCACAAAGCAGCACTGCAAATGCTCTGCAAAGCAGAATTTGTCAGAACACCATCTCGCAGCAGTGGTGAGAAGCAGGCAGCAGCCTCTGGCCGCTGCTGGGCACTGCTGAGGAACCCAACGTGACCCCACGTTCCTGCCCCTGGATTTTTTTCCTCAGTGGTGCCATCCCTCAGCATCTGCATCTCGAGTACAAATAATATTTACCCGGCCTCCAAACACCATTCTTGCACGGATGTTGTTTTCTTTTTTGGCTGAGGCGTGAAGTTCTGTTTTGCATCTCTATCTTTGGGAAGGAAAATAATAATAATAATAAACAAAACAGCCTGCAGATCTCATTAACCAGAACGTGGCTGGCTATGGCTAATGGTGTGTCTGAGCTCCTCCGGCCATGCCTCTGCTGGAGGATGGGATCTGTGTCACACTGCTGCTCTCAGGACCCTGCGATCCGCCTCAAGCAGACCGAGCACTATCTGCTGGTGCTGGGAGCTCTGTGCAAAGGCTATGCTGGAGGGGGGCAATAAAGTCAAAATCCAGACAAAAACACAATTGCAGGAGGGACAAAGTCAGCCACAGCTTTTTCCATCTCCTGCAAATGGAGTTGCTAACACAGAATTACAAACACTGTCGAGATGTTGTGCTTTGCGCCGGGCTTCACACGCATTGTATGGACACAGCGGGTCCTTCCGAGCTAAGAAATGCTAATTCAGGGCTAGAACGTGGGGTTTGCAGAAACCATCCTGTGAGTGTCATGGGGGGATTACCAACCCGACAGGAAGATTACAGCTCTGCATACGTTTAGACCCCATTGATTTAAAACTTTATTACCTTTGATGTAGGGAAGCAGCCCAGCAGCAGGAGCTCAGCCCGAGGATGGGGACTGCAGGCTGATCCTCTGCGTGGGCAGTGCTGCACCGTGCACATGCAGCTCCCACACCCTG